ATATATATATATAAAAAATATATATAAATAATTTTTTTTTATTTTATATGGATCCCCATGGTTCTCCACGGAGTGGAGAAAATTCCCCGCGAAATTTCACGGATAAAAAATTACCTCCATCCCCGCCCAACGGGTAAGAATATTCTGAGAATCTCCATCCCTGTGGCGGGTATCTCCATGAAGCTCCGCGGATCGCGGAGAAAATTGCCATCCTATACTCCCATAATTAAATATGTTGATGGGCTGGTGTGATCATTGATTAAATCCATGTGCTTCGAAGCTCACATGCGCCTTTTAGCTAACTGCCCTTTCCTGAATACATGTGCCACGTAATTTACTGGCACATGTTTTTTATGTTTCACGTTCGACACATACACGGAACATATACATTACTATTGTCTGAGAATTTTCGCATATATTTCCCAAAAGTTTTGTAAAAGATGAGTAATTTCATGTGCAAAGCCTGTCCTTTTGGTTCTTTTATCATAAAATTACATAAACCTTTGTCCATGTCACATGCCCTAAAATTGTAAGCGCTTGTCTAAACCTTCATAATGCCTATCCATTATGAATATATAAAGCATTTTGTTGTTTGAAATCATCCATAGAAACAAATTCAGTTATTTTTAACCTATGTTACTTTTTGTTTTATTTATGATTCGGTGTACTGTTTTTGTAATATTAATTCATTTAAAATAATAATAATTATACTCTTAATATATTTAAAACTCTTATTTTTATGTTTCTAAATTTGATAATTTTCAAATGTACTCTTGTAAATCAGCACATTATTCACATGTCAAATTATAATTCTTGCTACAGGATCTTTTTTACATAAAAAAAGGAAGCCCCTGGTAAAATCGAAGTAGAACTGATGTGGACTGTTCAGCATATTCTGCTTTTGTTATTGAACAGGGGAAAGTTGGGAAAAGAGGAACGGTTAAACCCGCTTAGCCATGTTGCCTACTTAAAAAAAAAAAAAAAAAAAAAAAAAGGAAAAAGCCTGCTTAGTCTTCTTTCCTAATGATATCAACAGGACAGAAACACTACTAAGTGTTGTTGCAGAAAACCTTCAAGGCCTTCCTTGCTCGGATCTTCTCGTCCAATAAACCTGCAAAGTCACGAGGGTGGTTCTCGGGGTAGACACTTCGATACTTAAGTAAGCAATAGTCTACACTTGGAGCTCTTTTGAGAGAATGGAGTGTATTAGAGAGAAATACTAAAGAAGAAGTCTTGTACCTTTGAGGGGTGTGGGGATATTTATAAATCCTTTGGGGATGCTTGACATCTATTGCACTTCTGTTGGTCCCTTTGGATCTATTTGAGTGTATATGATCTCCATAATAACTCATGCATGTGCTCTTTTGTATTTGGGCTTCATGGGCCTTCACTATGTTTATGGGTTAGTAACATTACTACCCTTACACTATTCACCCTCCCGAAGTCATTCACTTGTGAATGATTAGTGTGGAAGATGAGTGTAAATGGGGGTAGTAAATATAAAAATGTATGACATGAAGTCGTGTTTTAGGCTGCAGCCGAAGTAAAAATGCATGACACGGAGTCATGTGTTTCGGGCCATAGCTGAGGTAAAAATGCATGATACGGAGTCATGTGTTAGGGCCGTAGCCTAAGTAAAAATGCATGACATGGAGTCATGTGTTATGGTCGTAGCCAAAGTAAAATTAATGACTCAATCACTATGGCTAGAGCCAAAGTAATATAGGTGACGTGTGGTCACTATGGCCGAAGCCGAAGTAAAATAGATGATGCATAGTAACTATGGCGGGAGCCAAAGTAAAATAGGTGACTCGGGGTCACTATGGTCAGAGTTGAAGTAAAATATGTGACTTGGGGTCGCTATGGCCGGAGCCGAAATAGAACTGGTGACTCATGGTCACTATGGCCGGAGCCGAAGTAAAATATGTAACTCAGGACCACTATGGTTGGAGTTGAAGTAAAATGTGACTCGAGGTCACTATGGCCGGAGCCAAAGTAGAACTAGTGACTCATGGTCACTATGGCCGCAGCGAGGTAGAACTAGTGACGGTGTAACTGTGGCTGGAGCCGAGGTAAATAATGATGACCGGAGTCAACGGTCGAAGCCGAAGTAATAAGTAATGACTGGAGTCATGTGGCCGGAGCCAAGGTAATAAGTAATGACTGGAGTCATGTGGCCGGAGCTGAGGTAATAAGTAATGACTGGAGTCATGTGGCCAGAGCCTAGGTAATAAGCAATGACCGGAGTCATGTGGCCGAAGCTAAGGTAATAAGTAATGACCGGAGTCATGTGGCCGAAGCCGAGGTAATAAGTAATGACCGGAGTCATGTGGCTGAAGCAGAGGTAATAAGCGCGTGACATTGGGTCATTGTGGGTCGGAGCCGAAGTAAAGCAGGTGACATTGGATCACTGTGGGCCGGAGCCAAAGTAAAGCACGTGACACTGTCACTGTACCCGAAGCCGAAGTAAAACATGTGACGCTAGGTCATTGTGGCCGGAGCCGAAGTAAAACATGTGACGTTGGGTCACTGTGGGCCGAAGCCGAAGTAAAATGTGTGACTCGGAGTCGCTTTGGCTGTAGCCGAAGTAAAGATGCATAACCCATAGTCATGTGTTATGGTTGTAGCTGAGAATGATGCCCTAAAAATGACGACTTGAAAGTGACGATTTGCAACCTCATGAGCCATAATAATGGAAGTCAAACTTCTAAGAGTCATGCTCTATAGATCTAGGATCCGAACCAGTTTTTGTAAAGTTGATTGAATGCCAATTTTGGTAGCTGGAGATGCCTACCACAGAATCCCACCTTGAGATGCCCATAAGAAAATCTTGGTCTCTCGAGTCATAGCATAAAATCAAACTCCTTTGAGGGTTGTTCTTTGCAGAGTTAAGATTGAACTAAGCTTTCATAGAACAAATGAGTTGATAAGCTGATAGTTGATGGATGCAAGCTCTTGTAGATCGAATGGGCTAAAAAAGCCAATAGCTAATGGGCTCAAAGGCCAATAGTATTTTCTGATGAACTTATAAGTTTAAAAGCTGATAACATATTTATGAGTCTTCCAAGCTAAGGAGTTAACAGACTCTTGAGACCTGTAAAAATTCATTCTAAACATAGAACTTGACAAGATGCCATTAGTTTATCAATAGTCAATAATAAATGAGATACATCAACATTAAAGTGGCACAATAATTTGGAATTAAATATAAATGTTTGTGACATGAGTTATCAAAATAAACATTGCTAAAGTATGAGTTTCAAAATATATTCAAATTGAAATATTCAAGTAGCAAGTTAAGCACATGCCAAGTAATATATGAAAGTTTATTTTTGTTGCTTATGTATTCCTACTCCCCCTCTCAAAGAGAGATTTATCTTTTTAAGTTATAACCAATAATAAAGACCACCAGCTCGTGGATACCATTAGCTTGTGGATTATTCCACTATTCGCATGAGGCTCCACAAATGTATTAATATAAATAAATGTCATTTAAGCCACTCACTTTTAGTTGAAACATGAAGAATATATTATATTCAATTTATTTAATAAATAGGGGCTTAGCATATCTTATTGATGAATGGCCCATGAAAGGTGGAACACAAGATAGCTGGTGAAATGGCAAGTTGGTTGCAAGCTAGACCTGAGCTCAACTGTCATAAGGGTGAGCTCAAGCAGTTGAGTTCATCTAAAGTTGTTTACCTCATCCAAATGGGCTGTCATGAGGATGAGCTCAAGCAGTTGGGCTCATCCGAGGTTGCTTACACCATCTAAGGGAGTTCACCTCGGAATGGGTTGTCATGAGGATGAGCTCAAGTAGTTGAGTTCATCTGAGGTTTACCTCATCCAAGGTAATTGACCTCGGAATAGGTTGTCATGAGGATGAACTCAAGCAGTTGAGTTCATCTAAGGTTGTTTACCTCATTCAAGGTGGTTCACATCGAACAACCATCACACTATTCCCCCTCTGGGAGTCATTCACTTGTGAATGATGTGGAGGTTATGTGGGTAGGGAGTAGTCCAAGTTAATCCGAGGTCGTTTGCCTCACCTGGGGTCATTTGCCTCATCCGGGGTAGTTCACCTCGGACTAGGCTGTCACGAGGATGAGCTCAAGCATAGGCTGAGTTCATTCGAGGTTGTTTACCTCATCTGGGGTAGTTCACCCGATTATCATGAGGATGAGATCAAGCAGTTGAGCTCATCCGAGGTTGTTTACCTCATCCAAGGTAGTTCACCTCAAGATGGGCTAGCATAAGGATTAACTCAAGTAGTTGAGTTCATCAGGTTTATATCATCCAAGGGAGTTAACCTCGGAATGGGTTGTCATGAGGATGAGCTTAAGCAGTTGAGCTCATCCAAGGTTGTTTACCTCATTCAAGGTAGTTCACCTCAGGATGGGCTAGCATGAGGATTCACTCAAGTTGTTGAGTTCATCCGAGGTTTACATCATCCAAGGGAGTTGACCTCGGAATGGGTTGTCATGAGGATGAGCTTAAGCAGTTGAGCTCATCCAAGGTTGTTTACCTCATCCAAGGTAGTTCGCCTCAGGATGGGCTAGCATGAGGATTAACTCTAGTTGAGTTCATCCAAGGTTTACATCATCCAAGAGAGTTCACCTCAGAATGGATTGTCATGAGGATGAACTCAACCAAGTTTATGAACTTGTTTAAGTTCCTAAGTCAGCACATGAAGTTCCTATTATTAAAGTCCAAGGCTGACCATATTATATGATGAGGATACAGATATATATATATCTTTAGCTCAGCATCACAGTTAATAACTGTAATTTGAATAAATTATGAAGCTGCACTTTTTAATCATAGGTTCCTATTAGAAGTCATAATATATGACTCTTTTCCCCCCTCAACCCGTACATTTGGGGTCGGTAGACATAAACGTTGTAATCGTAAATTACCTTATTTGCAATTTTTATGCTTTAACATGTCCAATAAACAAGCAGTCATGCATGTTGTAATAAAAAATCTTTCTAGCTTGTAAATATAATAACAAAAATTGGACATGCGAAATGACTCAATAAAAATCTTGAACGCACAAAGAAAATTTGAAGTTTCTAATATGTAACACTTACTTGACTTGCAGAGTAGAATTAACTTATACTTGGGAAGAATTGTGCTCAATGAGATAGAAAGTCGAGAAAGAATTTAACTTCTTATGAACAATGTTAACTTCTCCTTGCCTTGACTCAGGAGCAAATGTGGAGAAAAAATCTAGCTTCTCATAAATGATGCCAAAGAAGAAATTTACTTGATCATCTTTGTGAGTTGTTGAGCTTTATGGTTTGGGCCCGTGGCCTTTTGAAAATTTTTGATAGAGGAGTTGTTCATAGCTCGTACAGGAAGAGCTCACCATAAAAGGATTTCTCTAGAACCCACCCCACATGGACTCCCTACACTTTTCCATCTCTAAAATAGCAATGTATATTTATAATCATGAGTGCAAATGAGCAAAATGGCATGATTATGATATATAAAAAATGAGATGGCAAAATGATATCATGAATGCAAAAACAAGTGCATAATGAATGGAAAAATGTGGAATGAATGCAAAGAATGCGGAAAGCAATTAATAATAAATTTCAATATAAGATTGGACCAAGCTTGGGCCAAAGCTGTAATTTGCTGCGGAGCTCAATTGCTTTCTTGACAACCTGTATCACAAGGACTTGAAAAAAAGGAGAAATCAAAGGCATCCAATTTTATAATCAAGAAAGTATATATAAAATAAATAAAAGAAAAAGATTACTAGTTCATCTTTTTTTAATTTTCAAAACAATACTTGGCTGATTAACTAAATTTATATACATATTAATGTAAAATTTATGCCTTGATATTATTGACATTTAGATGAATTTTATGAAAATTGACTTAATTTTGCATAATTTTCATTCTGTGTTGGAGAGTACTTAATTGGAAAAAGTCACAATCCTTATGAGTAAATTGAAAAGATATGAAATTTGAGGATTAAATTGTGCAGAATCCAAGAGTAAGGGGTCGGGACTGTAATTTTACCGTTAACAGAATTTGCAGAGAAGGACAAAAACCCGACACGGACTCTTCAAGACGGATGCAGGAAAAGTGTCGGTACCTTGTTGAGGGTGTTGACACCTTGCAGCTCATGCTGCACATCTTTCAGTTCATGCTCAATCTCTGCACCTCGTGTTTAAGTTCTGCACCTCGTGTTTAAGTTCTGCACTTTGTGCTTGGCCTCTGCAGCTCGTGGCTGACCTCGGCAATAAGTGTTTTGAGCTCTATAGCTCGTGCTCAAGTTATGCACTTCGTGCTCGACTTCGGTAGCAAGTATTTGAGCTCTGCAGCTCGTGGTTGACCTCTGCAACTCATGTTTGAGCTCTGCACTTTGTGCTCGACCTTTGAAGCTCGTGGCTGACCTCAACTGGAAATGTTTGAACTCTGCAGCTTGTGCTCAAGTTCTGCACTTCGTGCTCGACCTCGACAGCAAGTGTTTGAGCTCTGCAGCTCATGGTTGACCTCGGCAGCTCATGTTTGAGCTCTGCACTTCATCTCAACCTCAAGCTCATGGCTGACCTCGGCTGTAAGTGTTTGAACTCTGCAGCTCGTGCTCAAGTTCTACGCTTCGTGCTCGACCTCGACAGCAAGTGTTTGAGCTCTGCAGCTGGTGGTTGACCTCGGCAACTTGTGTTTGAGCTCTGCACTTCGTGCTCGACCTCAAGCTCATGGCTGACCTCGGCTGTAAGTGTTTGAACTCTGCAACTCGTGCTCAAGTTCTGCGCTTCGTGGTCGACCTTAGCAGCAAGTGTTTGAGCTCTGCACTTCGTGCTCGACCTCAAGCTCATGGCTAACCTCGGCTGTAAGTGTTTGAACTTTGCAGCTCGTGCTCAAGTTCTGCACTTCGTGCTTGACCTCGACAACAAGTGTTTGAGCTCTGCAGCTGGTGGTTGACCTCGGCAGCTTGCAGCTCATGGTCCAGCATTTTGCACCTCGACATTTCGCAGTTCGTGCATAAGCATCTCGCACCCCGGACTTGTGCAATTTGTAGCTTGGACTTCTGTAATTCGTAGCTTGTGCTCGAGCAAGACGTTTGTAGCAGCTCATGCTCAAGTAGGATATTTGCACCTCGTGCTCCAGCAAGTTGTTTCAGCTCGTGCTCGAGCAAGATGCTTGCAGCTCATCATTGTTGAGCTTGAGTAACAAAGCCCAGCCATAGTCGGCCCGACCATAGTTGCTTAGTCTCCTTCTATCATTGGAACCATAGGCTTTTGTTCCCTAGCAGCTGATTAGAGGGATTTTCACACTGGCAAGCTTTTAGTTGAGAGCTGAGGTTGCAGTTCTTTATGAGCAGAGGATAATGGTATTTTGGGAATCTCGGACTTTGATGATGAGGACAGAGAGCTTGAGGCATTGGCGGATGGCGCGGGTGGCGGCAGCCATGTGAACGGGGAACTAGTTGATGACTCCACCGTCTTTGCTGAATGCCATCTCCCCCAACTCCATGCCTTTCTTCACCACACCCTCCAACCCCATTTCTGTTTCCTTCATTTTCATTATCACCAACTGAATAGATGAGAAGTACATTTATGGTTGAAGAACAGAGAGGCACATGACCGCCATAGTTGAAATTAGAGGAGTTTAGAAGGAAAGAGATAAGTTCTTTTTTTTTTTTTTTGGTGGACCCCTCTGAGTTACCTTAAGCTTGTGTTTTGCTGACACTCTTTTGCTTCTTGAATACTCATGGCTGACATTGTAACTTACCTCGATAGTTGTGCAGAGCTACTCCCTCATTTGTCCTTTTGCGAAAGCTTCTCTTCTTCATGGGTGAATAGACCCTTTTCATCACATTTGCTTCTGCAACTCAAGTGTAAACTTCTGCAACTCAAGTGTAAATTCATCAGATCTGCTTCTACAACTCAAGTGAATAGGCCATGAGGCCTTCACTCGTTTTCTCCTCCCTCCAATCAATCAGATCAACATAGAAATGAAGCTTTTTATTCGTTTCCCACAAATGGCGCCAATGTTGTTGCAGAAAACCTTCGAGGCCTTCCTTGCTTAGATCTTCTCGTCCAATAAACCTGCAAAGCCCCGAGGGTGGTCCTCAGGGTAGACACTCCGATGCTTAAGTCAGCAATAGTCTACACTTGAGTCAGCAATAGTCTACACTTGAGTCAGCAATAGTCTACACTTGGAGCTCTTTTGAGAGAATGGAGTGTATTAGAGAGAAATACTAAAGAAGAAGTCTTGTACCTTTGAGGGGTATGGGGATATTTATAAATCCTTTGGGGATGCTGGACATCTGTTGCACTACTGTTGGTCCCTTTGGATCTATTTGAGTGTATATGAGCTCCATAGTACCTCATGCATGTGCTCTTTTGTATTTAGGCCTCATGGGCCTTCACTATGTTTATGGGTTAGTTATATTACTACCCTTACACTAAGTTTGTCCACCAGAGACCATTCCTCTTCATATATGAAGATTGAACCCTTTTTTTTTTTTTTTTTTTTTTTTTTGGTAAATCAATGTTGAACATTCAGTATTGCCCGGATATATTGTTTGATGGGCAATTAAAAAAAAAAAAGGAAAAGTATTCCCTATATATTCCTTGTATGCCTTTTTACCAATCGTTGATTAATTTGGCCGTATGTTACTGTCACTGCCGGACAAAACTCCTTGCTGGCGGGATGACGCAAGTGATAAAGGCGTCCTTTTTTCCCGTCAGGTCCACATAACACCTGGAAATTGAGCCTTCTACCACAGCAGTTGGGTCTTTCACGGTTACATCAAGCCTTTCCCTTGGGGAAACTAATATTGAACGGAAAAAGAAAAGAAAAGAAAAGAAAAGAAATTTATGAAAATCATGCATGTGGTCTCAACACAAGGTTTGCATCTAACCTAAAACCAATTGGCTATAGATGGAGTGGCATTCCTTATATTTAACCCACAAGTTTCTTAATTTTATACTTGATGTGGGATTTTCCCACTTAACATGCCTCCTCATGTGCAGATCCGCTATGAATGTCGGGTCCTGTCACATGGGTTAACATACCCCCTTAGATATAGGCCTGGTACCTTCAGCTTCGAGTCCTAGCAGGTGGGCTAACAATGACCTTTCCAAGACAGAATCTAGACTCTGATACCATATGAAAATCATGCATGTGAGAAGATGTGAACACAATTATATTTAAAATTATTGTAAATATATTTAAAATTATTGTAAATATTTTACACTTTAAAATATTCTCTTTGTATACTTTATACCTTAGAATATTCTTTTTGTAAACACCTATATATAAGTCATTATACATACAGTATGATTCAAGGAAGCAATAAACCTTTCTTCAAATTATTCTTTTTTTTCTATTTTCTAACATGGTATCAGAGCTATAAGCTCCTGGTTCTTTTCTCTTATCATCGCTGTTGGGTTTTTTGGAGTTGGATTTTCAATTCCATTCCAGATCTAAAATTTTGTCGTTGGGATCTCTTCTCCTACAGATTGGATTGTTTATCCTCAATTCTCAAGCCCTTTCTGAGGTATTTTATTGGTTTGTTATTTCAATCTGGGCATTTATTTCTTTATATTTTTAGAGTTTTTCAGTATTATGAGTTTACTGATTCTATGGCGAGTTTTGAAAGGATTGTAACTCATCCTACTACTGCTATGGTTGCCAAAGAAGTGATAGAACAACCTAATGTCAACCTTGAATCCCTAAAATAGGTAATATTAAATCTTTTTAATGCTCCTACTACCTTATCTACTGCTCTGGGTACCAAACCTTGGTATTTCAATTCTGGTTGTTGTAACCATATGTCTTCAATTGCTGCTCATTTCTCTTCAATGTCACCTAATAATTCCTTTCCTGATATTTATTCTGCTGATGGTTCCCCTATGAATATTAGTCACATTGGCAATGTTTCTACAAAGTCATTGACTTTACCAAATGTCGTTTTAGTTCCAAAACTTAGTTATAATCTTCTATCTGTTGGTCAATTCTATGATCTTGGTCTTGAAGTAACATTCTCTGCTCATGGTTGTCGTGTGCAGGACCCATGGACAGGACAACTTCTTGGAACTGGTCGCAAGGTGGGGCGTTTGTTGAGCTCAACTATCTGCATATTTCTAATAATAAAATGGATACACTATCATTTCCAAATGATTGATTCATCCAAACCTTGCTTTATGCTATTGGATTAGAGTCTTTACAAATTCCATATCAACAAATCTTCCAAGCCTGTGCTGCTACTAATATTTCTCCTTTCCATTTGTGGCACTCATGACTCGGACATACCTCAGTCGATAAACTTCGTCCATTTATCTCTCGTGGTTTATTAGGATCAGTTTCGAATGAATCTGTGCATTGTGTGTCTTGTCAACTTGTAAAGCAACCAACTTTATCTTTTTCGAGTAGTCATTCTCATTCTACTGCTCTTTTTGATCTCGTGCATTCTGATGTTTGGGGTCCATCTCCTACACCCACCATGGGGGGTTCCAGGTACTTCGTGTTATTTATTGATGATCATACTCGTTTTACTTGGATATACATTATGAGTAGTCGCTCTAAATTATCACAAATTTATATTGATTTTTCTACCATGGTCAAAACTCAGTTTTCTAAAATTATCAAAGTTTTAAGAACTGACAATGCTACTGAATATCTTGGTACTAAACTTCAATCATTTTTGAAAAAGCAGGGTACACTACCATAACAATCCTGTCCTTATACTTCTGAACAAAATGGGCGAGCCGAACGCAAACACAGACACATCCTTGATTCTGTTCGTGCTTTGGTCATTTCATCTTCTTATCCAGAGCGATTTTGTGGTGAAGTTGCTCTTACAGCTATTTATCTTATTAATCACATTCCATCATCAATCCTTAATAACTAGTCTCCATACGAGCGTCTACATGGTATTCTTCCTGCTTATAATCTTCTTAAGGTTTTTGGTTGTGCATGTTTTGTTCTTCTTCCACCTTATGAACATAACAAGTTAGAACCTAGAGCTTGATTATGATGTTTTTTGGGTTATGGGATTACACAAAAAGGATATCGTTGTTGGGATCCTATGTCACAAATACTCCGAATTTCACGTCATGTTGTCTTTTGGGAACACACTATGTTCTCATCATTGTCAAACTTCAAAGTGTCATCCTCTCATCAACCTCCATTTTTTACTAATCCTTCTATTGAGCTATTTCCTAATGATTCTAATGCAGGTACATCTGATGAGCTCTACAATACCTCACCACATGCTCCAACTAGTTCTGTAGAAGATGATCTGCCTACTGGTAATGCATTAGATAATTTTGAGCCTTCTTCTACTTTCTCGTCTGTATCACTTGTTGATTCTACAAATGAGCTTGTTGTCCCATCCTCGAGTCATCCTACTCGGGTAAGAAACCCTCCCAACTACCTTCGTGATTATCATTGTTTTCTTGCTATTACTTCATTACATGAGCCTCAATCTTATCAAGAGGCCTCTTTTAACCCTCTTTGGCAACAAGCTATGCAAGATGAATTACAAGCTCATGAGAACACTCATACATGGGCTTTAGTTGATCTCCTTGCTGAAAAATCTCTAATAGGCTGTAAATGGGTGTACAAGATCAAAACACGATCTGATAGTTCTGTGGAGCGTTATAAGGCACGCTTGGTTGCTAAGGGTTTTACACAAGAGTATGGAATCGACTATGAAGAGACATTTGCTCTAGTTGCTCGTCTTACATATGTGTGCAATTTGCTTGCTATCGCTGCTATACGGAGATGGAAATTGTTTTAGATGGATGTGAAAAATGCTTTTCTTAATGGTGACCTAGAAGAAAAAGTTTATATGAAACCACCTCCTGGGCTCAACCATCCTCTAAACAAGGTATGCCGATTGCGCCGTGCATTATACAGGTTGAAGCAATCCCCTCAAGCCTGGTATGCAAAGTTAGTGCTACTGTGAATGAGTTTGGTTTTACTTCCAGTCCACATGATACAGTTTTGTTCATTCGTAAGACTGCTCAGGGTATGGTTCTTTTACTTCTTTATGTTGATGACATGATTATTACTAGAGATGATGTCACAAGTGTTGAGGAGTTAAAACAATCTCTCAGTTAGAAATTTGAGATGAAAGATCTTGGTGTTTTGAGTATTTTTTGGGGCTTGAAGTGACCTCTTCAAACGATGGCTACCTATTTTCCCAAGTAAAGTATACCTCCGATCTTGTTTATAAAGCTGAACTCACTGATGGTAAGAGTGTTTCTACAACTCTTGAACCTAATGTCAAGCTTACACCTATGGATGGCTCTCCACTTTCTTATCTTACTCGCTATCGGTAATTGGTTGGTAGTCTACTTTATCTTAGTACGACACACCCTGATATAGCATATGTAGTTCACATTGTTAGTCAGTTTAAGGCTACTCCTCGCTTCACTCATTATGCAGCAGTACTTCGCATTATTCACTATGTTAATAGAACATTATTTCATGGACTCCATTTTTTTGCCAACTACTCCTCTGTGCTTCGCGCTTACTCTGATGTTGATTGGGCTGGTGATCCTTCTGATCGTAAGTCTACCACTAGTTATTGTCTTTTCCTTGGTAATTCTCTTATCTCTTGGCGGAGTAAGAAACAAACTATTCCATATCGCTCTAGTACTGAAGCTGAGTATAGAGCTCTTTGGGATACCACATCAGAACTTCTTTCATTACGGTGGCTTCTTGAAGATATGAGCATTCCTCAACCTTCTTCTACTAATTTATATTGTGATAATCAAAGTGTTATGCAGATTGCTCCTAATGATATCTTTCATGAATGCACTAAACACATTGAGGTTGATTGTCACTTTATTCGCCATCATGTTGCACAAGGAACTGTTCATTTGGTTTTTATTGGCTCCACGGATCAACCAGTAGATCTTTTTACCAAGGCTCATTTTCCTGGACACTTTCGTACTCTTCTTTCCAAACTCAAGTTGGTTTCATCACAACCACCTTGAGTTTGAGGAGGGATGTTAAGATATGAACACAATTATATTTAGAATTATTGTAAATATTTTATACTTTAAAATATTATCTTTGTATAATTTATACTTTAGAATATTCTCTTTGTAAACACATATATATAGGTCATTGTACATACAGTATGATTCAAGAAAGCAATAAACCTTTCTTCAAATTATTCTTCTTTTATATTTTCTAACAAAATTAAAGAGGTTTTTAATTACCTCCTTTTGTTTTGCTAAAACCAACATTTAGCCCCTTACCTTACAAAATTGGTAGGTTTTAGTCCCTAATCTTATAATATAACACTTTTACCCTTTTACCTTACAAAGTTGGTAGGTTTAACCCCTCACCTTATAAAGTTAGTTGGTTTTAGCCTCTTACCTTATATTATGACACTTTTAATCTCTTATCTATATTAATTGAAGAAAATAGCCCTTATTTAACATTAGGTTTTAATGTTATATTAATTCTGTTAACTGACTGTCAATTTTGTTAGTTAACTGTTAGCTTTATTAACTGATTGTTAGCTCTGTTAGTTGACTGTTAGTATCCATTAGCATTCCATTAATAAAACTAACAAATAAAATTGAATTTAAATTTTATGTTTTTTATAACAGAATGCTAGCAGATGTTAACAGTCAACTGATAGAACTAACAGAACGTTATAACCTAATGTTAGATGAGGGTTATTTTCTTTAATTCATATTGGTGATGGGCTAAAAATATCATAATATAAGGTAAATGGTTAAAACCTATCAACTTCATAAGGTAAAGGATTAAAACTTACCAACTTTGTAAGATAAAGGGTTAAAACTATTATGTTATAAGGTGAGAAGTTAAAACCTACCAATTTTATAAGGTGAGGGGTTAAATGTTGGTTTTT